GCTAAAAGTAGTTGCTTTCTTACAAGACTGTAGGTTGTAGCCATGTTGGTCTAAGAACATAGGCAGACAAGGTTCTTTGGATGAATCTGATATCTTTTATTAGACCAACTAAATAGTTGGAGAACAATTTTTAATCAAGCTTTCGGGTTCAAAAACCCTTCATCAGGCTAAGGACGTTTCAGCAGTTGGTGTGTGCTCTTCCTGGATGGAATGAAAAGTAAAGAAGCCAGAGGCTGGGGTGGTATGCATACAAGACAGGCAGTCAGTGAAAATGTAGATTGAGGAGTTAATGGGTGAGAGACAGGCTGGGTGTGGGGGAGAGAATGGGGATGAATAGTGGAGAAGTACCTGGGAAGTCAGCTGTCAGGCAGGTTATAATGTCATAAATCCAATGTCTATATTTAGTCCATCATTTTTAGTATCCAGAAGGCTGATGAAGTGGAGTTCATAGGCTCGTCTGTGGGAAGTGTTCTGTAAGTTTCCTTTGAGGATCAGGACTGAGAGATTGGAGAGAGAGTGGTTTCCTTGTGAGAAATGTGCCCCCACAGGTAATTGGGTATTCCTGTCTTTGATAGATTTCCGGTGTGCGTTCATTCTGGTGCACAATTGTTGTTTGGTCTCACCTACGTATTTTCCATCAGGGCATTTGGTGCATTGGATGAGGTGTATTACATTTCTGGAGGTGCAGCTGTAAGATCTAGGAATGCTGATGGCTCTGTTGTGGGGTGTAGTGATTATGAGGGTGGTGGAGATGTGTTGGCAGGTTTTGCATTTCTTGTCATGGCATGGTCTGGATCCATTTGGTGTGTTCTGGGTCTGAGGAAGTTTGCTTCTGATGATGAGGTTGGTGAGGTTCGGTGCTTGTTCAGTCAATCCTAAAACCGCTCATCACCCACAGAGCAAGTTTTGTCCAAGACACTACAGACTTTCTATGGAAACTTAAAAAGACAGACCACCTTGCCAGCAACACCCTCCTAAGCACCATGGACGTTACCAGCCTATATATATCAGCATCCCACACCAGGATGGCATCCAAGCCTGCCTTACATATCTACAGGAACAAGATTACAACTCAGAATACAGACCCAAAGATATCACTGACTTTATACACTTCATCCTCACACACAACAATTTCACTTGTAATAACCAACACTTCCTCCAGATGATGGGAACAGCTATGGGCACCAAAATGGCCCCACAGTATGCCAACCTTTTTATGAGCCACCTGGAAGAAGACTTCCTCAAGAACTGCATCATCAAACCCTTGCTATACTGAAGCACAGAACCAGCAATCACCCTAAACACACCAAAAAAGCTGTGATATACAGCCAAGCCTTCAGATACCACTGAATTTGCACTGAAGAGAACACCCGGGATTGCCACCTCACCAATCTTAAAAAGGCTTTCACCCAACAAGGACACTCCTTCAGAGAGATAGACTGCACGTTTGAAAGAGCCACCTGGATACCACATGAAGAACTGCTGCAGTACAGAAGAAACCCCCCCACAAATCGCACACCACTGGTTATGACATAACACCCCTCCCTCAAACCCGTACAGAAAATCCTCAAACAATTGCAACCCATACTAGAAAGAGACCCTATTCTTAAAGAGATCTTCCCAGAGCCACCCATCCTAGCTTTCAAACAAGCACCGAACCTCACCAACCTCATCAGCAGAAGCAAACTTCCTCAGACCCAGAACACACCAAATGGATCTAGACCGTGCCATGACAAGAAATGCAAAACCTGCCAACACATCTCCACCACCCCTACAATCACTACACCCCACAACAGAGCCATCAGCATTCCTAGATCTTACAGCACTGAACAAAGAAGTTAAGTAGAATACAAGTTCCCCTGAAGCTAAAGTGTATTTTGACCTGCTTCAGTGCTTTCCCCAGCCCCCACCTCTCTGGTTACCTGCTAGAGGTAGAAAGAAACCTTTTAAATTATGTGCATTAAAAAGGCCCATTAAAAGCGTTTTTAATGCACATAGCGAAGGAAATTCCCAATTTAACAACTAGGCTTGTGTCTTTGTTATATCAAGGATCTCTATACAACTTTTCTCCCCTTACATGACAACACATATGAGTTTTCAGTCTCTTTTTCTCTCTCAGCCTTTCAAACCGGTAGTGTGATTTATAATTTGAGCCCAAAACTTTATAGTAGGGCTGAAGGAAGGTGCAGTATTTGGGATCAATACAGTAGATTATTGATTATTTTATGTTTGATACTTGATACATTTTTCAGTCAATTAACAAGGCTGGCAAATGCTCAACCTCTTTTGTCATGCGTAACCTAGAACATCTCAGTCCAGAGGGCTCATAACTTGATTGTGGCCAGATTTTCAAAAGCAGCTGTTGATTCCTTAGTCTTTGGTTTGAGAAACTGGCCTTAATTTCCACATGTGCTAACTTCCTGCAGCTCCCATTCAGTGCAGCTGGGATTAAGGATTTCATTGGTACTTATGAAAGTCAGACTCAAGGGAGTCAAGCTAGTTTTCAAAAACTCTCTGGCCAAGTTCAAAATTTTTGTCTTTAATTGCTGTAGGTTACCAACTGAGTGTCCAATGTAAGGGAAGACTTCAAGCTCTCTATTGTAATTTCTTCACTAACTTGTAGATTTGGAACAGATATCCAGTAAATCATATCTCATATGGCCCAACAGATGGGTATAGTGTCATCCAGTTCTTTTAAAAGCATAGGCACAACACTAAGGTGACGCGAAGTTCCTGTGTGTTTAAACAGTTGGCATTTCAAGTGCGATTACATTTGGTGGCTGTAATTTTGCTTTTATGCTCTTAGCTATAAGATGCAGTGGCCACATCTACATGAGATGCTGACTGAGCAGTAGCTCATTACTACTGTGCAGTAGTGTCACATGGCATAAAGAATGACATGATGGTACTGCGCAGCAGTAATGAGCTACTGCACAGCCAGCATCACCTAAAAGCTGTTTGGCAGTGCTATTGCGCAGTAACTCTGGTTTCATAGTTTCATAGTTTCATAGTTTTAGGGTCGGAAGGGACCTAATAGATCTTCTAGCCCGACCCCCCCGCCAGGGCGGGAGAACAACAAAAAACCCTAAAAACAAAAACGGGACTCAAATGAGTCCAGCCAGGTAGGCATCCAGCCTCTTCTTAAAGACCCCCAGGGTAGGGGCCAGCACCACCTCCCTTGGAAGTTGGTTCCAGCTCCTAGCCGCCCTAACTGTGAAGTAGTTTTTTCGGATGTCCAATCTGTACCTCCTGTCCATCAACTTGTGCCCATTACTCCTTGTTATGCCAGCGGGGGCTAGGGGAAACAGCGTCTCCCCCAAACCCTTCTGGTTCCCCCTAGTGAGTTTATAGACGGTCACCAGGTCCCCCCTCAGCCTTCTCTTGTGGAGGCTGAATAGGTTCAGGTCCCGCAGTCTCTCACTGTAGGGTCTGCCCTGTTGTCCCCGGATCATGCGGGTGGCCCTCCTCTGGACCCTCTCCATGTTGTCCACATCCCTCCTGAAATGGGGCGCACAGAACTGGACACAATACTCCAGCTGCGGCCTGACCAGCGTCGCATAGAGGGGGAGGATCACCTCCCTGGCTCTACTCGAGATGCACCTGTGGATGCACGACAAGGTCCGGTTAGCCCTGCCAACCATGACCTCGCATTGTCGGCCCATGTTCATCTTGGAGTCAATAATGACACCAAGATCCCTTTCCGCCTCCGTGCTCTCAAGTAGGGAGTTCCCCATCGTATAAGTGTGCTGCTGGTTCCTGCTACCCAAGTGCAGCACCCTGCACTTGTCCGTATTGAAACACATCCTGTTCCTGTTTGCCCACCCCTGTAACCTATCCAGATCCTTCTGCAATCTCTCTCTCCCTGCTAGCGTGCTCACCTCCCCCCAAATTTTGGTGTCATCAGCGAATTTAAACAGGTTGCTTTCCACCCCAACATCAAGATCGCTGATGAAGAAATTGAACAGCGCAGGCCCCAGGACCGAGCCCTGGGGGACTCCACTACCCACCTCCCCCCAAGTCGAGTATGATCCATCCACCACCACCCTCTGAGTGCGACCCTTCAGCCAATCTGCAATCCATCTGACTGTGTAGGCATCTATGCCACAGTCGCCTAGTTTATTAATTAGGATGGGGTGAGAGACGGTGTCAAAGGCCTTACTGAAGTCCAGAAAGACGACATCCACTGCGACACCTGCGTCCATGGCCTTTGTGACCTGATCATAAAAGGCAATCAGGTTGGTCTGACATGATCTCCCCCTAATAAATCCATGCTGGTTACTGTGCAGTCATCTAGGATTTGTGTATACAAGTACTAAATGACTGTGCATTAACAGCTGTGCAGTCAGTGTCTTGAGTAGATGTTAATGTACAATGTTAATTAGACCCTTGGGCTTTCCTAGGCACTGTATAGACTCTAGTGAGTGTCCTGCATTAAGTGTAGAACAGAGAAAAGGGCTCCTGAGCTTCTTTGGTGAGACTGCATTTTGGAAGGAACCTCTTTTCCTTAATCCACATGCACGCAGGGAATTAAAGCCTAATCATTTTTTCCTACACAGCAATATTCCTCTCTGGAGAGTCAAATCTCTTCATCTTTCTTAGGTCAGCTGTTACATAGCACAATTTGATGCTTAGTCCCAGATTCTGCAACTTGGATGGGCCCTCTGCCCTGACACACAGCTCTGCTGATTTCTTTATAGGGGTTCTTTCAGGCTCTGAAATACATCTGTGCCGTGTGTATGCAGCATAGTATATTTAAGTCCTAGATAAAAATAGGGACTGAGGCTTACAAATGCAAGTGCAACTCTGTGCACATCTGTACATTTGAAAATATGACCCCAAGTTAGTTTCAGTATTTTGCCAACCCTTCTTCATTAATTTGGATAACTCCATAAAACATGTGCATGCTTTATAATACTAATTGTGACTCAGTTGGGGAAGACGATCCTTTCTTTGGTTCATTCATCTTTGATTTTTAACATCTGATGTCTTATTATTTACAGATGATGGGAAGCTGTCTTTGGAAGAGTTCCAGGCTTTTTTTTCTGACGGGACTCTGAATGAAGAAGAACTTGAAAAGCTCTTTCATACAATTGACTCGGACAACACCAGGTGAGTGTACCAGTCCCTGTCTGTTTCCTCCTGTTGATTTGGATTTTAGGAATCCTGGTGTGTAGATTTTGAGGCTGCACTGCTTATGAGATCTAAGAGCATGCTAAGCATGCCATGATGGTGTTCATTTATCCATCAATCTGGACTCCATTTCTGTTTGGTTTGACCTCTCATCATGTGGGCTCATTGTATACCTGGTATAGTTTCATCATACTTTTTATATATTATGGCCTGACTTCAAAAGTCTCCACCTACAAATATGTCTGTCTTATTGGAGGGCAGAATGCATGGTCTTGAGTGAGGAGTCTTTTCACAAGTGAAAAGCCTTGGGAAGAATCGTGTTAAGCTTAAATCCTGTTTTACATCAAAGTGGAGACCTCATGGACCACCTGAGCTCAGATAATCCTGACCTTTTACATTTTGTTGACCATAAAAATAGAAGTGTAAGCCTGCTGCACCCCCATGAGCCTAGGGACCCCAGCAGTGACCCCAGGACCCCCGACGAGCCCCAGCCTGCCCGTGGGTAAGCAAGGGCCCATGGAGGGAGGGACCTAGCCAGCTGGGAGTGGCTAAGTGGGCCAAGGAGGATCATGCCCCCCTACCCAGCTCCTCCTTGGCCCAGCCCCGCAGGGAGCCATGCGACCCCCGTGCAGGCACATGTGCCAGGTTAGGGTGGAGTTACCCATCTGTTCCTTCCCTCGGTGGAGGGGAGGGACCCTCCTTAGCCCCCGCAAAATAGCGAGGCACCGGCCGGCCCTTCTGCGCATGTGTGCAATTTAAAAAGGGCCTGGCAACGGCATAAGCCTCATTAGTGTCCTGGCTCCAGTGCGAGATGCGTGGGTATAAGCCTGCTGCGCCCCCATGAGCCTACGGACCCCAGCAGTAACCCCAGGACCCCCGACGAACTCCAGCCTGCCCGTGGGTAAGCAGGGACCCATGGAGGGAAGGACCTAGCCAGCTGAGAGTGGGCTAAGTGGGCCGAGGAGGGTCACGTCCCCCCCCGGCTCCTACTTTGCCCAGCCCCCCAGGGAGCCATGTGACCGGAGCCTCACGAACAGGCCACGCAAACAGGCACGCTCCTAGGCCCGGTGCGGGAGTTTGCGCAAGAGGACGAGCGGAAGGGCCTGAGGCCCTGCCTGTGAGCCCCCCAGGGTAGACAGTCCCAGCCGTAGTTAGCCCACCAGTGGCATGACGCGGATGGGCACATGCCGCACCCCTTGGGTCCCCTCGGGGTCTGTGCCCGCCCCCCCAGCACCTCAGAGACCACCACCCAGATGGAGCCCATGGTTCCAAGCTCCACAGAGACAGAACCCCTGGCTCCCGGCTGCGGGGGCTGCCTGACACTTTTTCAGGCTCTGGGGCCCGGGAGCATAGCCACCTCCACTTGTGGGGGCTGCTCCCTACTGGGGTCTCTGGCTCACCAGCTGGAGGAGCTCCAGGCTGCAGTCCAGAGACTGCGTGCCATCAGGGACTGCGAGCAGAAGATAGACTCCTACTGCCAGGCCCTTCTCCCCCAGGAGGTGGAGGGTAGACCACGGTCTCCCTCCAGGACAAGGGAGGACTTGGGGACCTCCCTTACTGTCCAGCCCAGGGATTTGACCAAGGCGGTCAAGGGCCCCAAGGCCCACCGCACCAAGGCCCCTGCCCCACTGGAGTTTTGCAACAGGTACGCACCTCTTGCAGCCCCAGCACAGCCTGGTGAGTTTCCAGCTCCTGCAGGCAACACAGACAATACAGTAGCTACTGCCCCCGCTGTCCCCAAGACCAAACGCAAAGTGCTGGTTATGGGAGACTCCATCCTGAGGGGGCTGAGGGGGTAATCTGCCACCCCGACCTCTTAGCCCAGGAAGTTTGCTGCTTCCCAGGAGCCAGAATCGGAGACATTGCGGAGAAGATCCCTAAACTCCTCCAGCCCACTGACCAGTACCCTCTTCATCCATGTGGGCACCAATGACATGACTCGGAGTGTTTCCAGCTGGGTAATTAGGCGCTACAGGGATTTGGGTGCGGGGCTTAAGGGTCTGGGGATGCAGGTGGTGTTTTCTTTGATCCTCCCAGTCTCAGGCTATGGGCTGAGGAGGGAGGGGAGGATCCAGGTAGTCAACCAAAGACTGCGGCGCTGGTGTCATCAGGAAGGCTTTGCCTTCCATGACCATAGTCTGCTCTTTGGAAAGAGAGGCAGCGAGCTGCTGGGAAGGGACAGCCTCCACCTCTCTCTGCTGAGGAGGAGGCTCTTCTCAGCCAGACTGGCTGACCTACTCCACCGGGCTTTAAACAAAGCCCATCGGGGGATGGGGAGACTACTGCCACTGCTGGCCTGCTGAGCAACCCTTGCAAAGCCAGCAGGCCAAGGCACTTAAGGGATCCCACTCAGCCCCAGCCCTGGAACAAAATATAGGCAAGGCAAGGGCCCCTAAGGGGACACTTGCATGCCTATACACAAATGCCAGGAGCTTAGGGAATGAACAGGAGGACCTTGTTCTCCTGCTAAATGCAAATAACTATGATGTCATAGGGATAATGGAGACCTGGTGGGACTCCACCCATGACTGGACCACAGGTATAGATGGCTATACCCTGTACAGGAGGGATTGAGTGGACAAAAGGGGCGGGGGTGTAGCTCTCTATGTCAAGGAAAGCTACGCGTCCCTGCAAGCCGACATTGGCATCCACGGTGGATGACTTGAGACCCTCTGGGTTAAAATCCATGAGGAACATGGCACAGGGGATACTATGGTGGGAGTCTACTACAGACCCCCTACCCAGGGTCAAGACCTCGACCAGGAGTTCACCAGCGAATTGGCTGAGGCTGCATGCTCCCCATGTATGGTTGTCATGGGAGACTTTTTGTCTGTCTGCCCAGACATCTCATGGGAGGAGCGCTCAGCCAAATCTGAGCAGTTGCAAAGCTTTCTCTCACGCGTGGATGACCTCTACCTGACTCAATAAGTCTACCGGCTCGACTTCATACTGGCAACCGGGGACGACCTAATCAATGACCTAACAATCGAAGGGAAGCTGGGTTACAGTGACCACGAGCTGATCACCTTCACCATCTGCTACAAAGCTGGCAAGTCAGTCAGTAATACAGAAGTCCTTGACTTCAGGAAAGCTGACTTTGACAAGCTAAGGAGGCTTGTCAGAGAGGCCCTAAAGGGCCATAACCCAAAGGGCAGGGGAGTTCAGGACGGGCCGTTGCTCCTCAAGGGAGCAATCCTGGATGCACAAGCAAAGTCCATCCCATCTTGGAAGAAAGGCAGCAAAAGGGCATAGCAGCCCCCTTGGCTCTCCAGGGAACTGGTGGACCTCCTGCATCTTAAAAGGAAGACCTACAAAGGATGGAGGACTGGAACCTTCACCAAGGTGGAATACTCTGCTCTGGTCTGGACCTGCAGAGAGCAAACCAGGAAATCCAAGGCTGCAATGGAACTCCAGCTAACTACAAATATCAAGGACAATAAAAAGTCCTTTTTTAGATATGTGGGGAGCCAGAGGAAAAGCAAGGGCAACATTGGACCCCTGCTAAGCCAGATGGGGCAACTGAGAACTGATGTCAGGAAAAAGCAAACTTGCTAAATGGGTACTTTGTATCAGTTTTTCACCAGTCCCATGGGATGCCCCTGCACACCGTGGGTCAGGGAGGCCCGGGTGAGGAAGATTCCTTGCCCTCCGTCGAAGCTGACCTCATGGAGGAACACCTTGACAGGCTGGATACCTTCAAGTAAGCTGGCCCTGACAGGTTACACCCAAGGGTACTCAAGGAGCTGGCAAGCATCATAGCTCAGGCCCTGACAGAGATCTTTGAGAGCTCTTGGTGCTCTGGTGAAGTGCCCGAGGATTGGAAGATGGCCAAATTGGTGCCTATATTCAAGAAAGGGAGGAAAGTAGATCCGGTAAACTACAGGCTCATCAGCCTGACCTCTATCCTGGGGAAGGTCTTGGAAAAGATTATCAAAGAGGCCATCTTTAACAGACTAGCTGAAAGCAATATCCTGAGGGATACCCAGCATGGGTTTGTTGTGGGTAGGTCTTGCTTGACCAATCTCATTTCCTTTTATGACCAGGTGACCTATCACCTGGACAAGGTGAAAGAGATTGACGTTATATATCTTGACTTTAAAGAAGTCTTCGATCTGGTATCCCATGATCACCTCTGGGCTAAACCAGCTAACTGTGGCCTTGACCTCACCATGATCCGCTGGCTGGGGACTTGGGGGTCATGATTGACCGCAAGATGAACATGAGCCTTCAGTGTGATGCTGCAGCTAGTAAAGCAAGCAAAACTCTGGCTTGCATCCATAGATGCTTCTCAAGCAAATCCCGGGACGTCATTCTCCTGTTGTACTCAGCCTTGGTAAGGCCGCAGCTGGAGTACTGTGTCCAGTTTTGGGCTCCACAATTCAAAAAGGATGTGGAGAAGCTTGAGAGAGTGCAGAGGAGAACTACGCACATGATCAGAGGTCAGGAAAACAGACCTTATGATGAGAGGCTGAGAGCCATGGGACTCTTCAGCCTGGAAAATCGCAGGCTCAGGGGTGATCTGGTGGCCACCTATAAGTTTATATGGGGTGCTCATCAGGATCTGGGGGAAAATCTGTTCACCAGAGCACCCCAAGTGATGACAAGATCAAATGGTCACAAACTCTGCCGTGACTGATTCAGGCTGGACATAGGAAAGAACTTCCTTACTGTCCGAGCCTCCAAGGTTTAGAATAGACTACCGCCGGAGGCGGTTCAAGCACCCACTTTGAACACCTTCAAGACATGTTTGGGTGCTTATCTTGCTGGGATCCTATGATCCCTGCTGACTTCCTGCCCCTGGGGCCAGGGGCTGGACTCGATGATCCACCGGGGTCCCTTCCAGCCCAAATTTCTATGAAATCTATGAAAGTCAGAAGGCAGCTTTTCTTAGGCACATGTACTGTGCTATGCTGTCAGTTAAGATCACATGCTTTTTGCTTCTAATGTATTCTTTCCAGAATATGTAGCTTCACAACTTT